TTGTATTGCAAATAGCCATAAATCTTGAGCTCTCTTGGGATTTTCTAATAATTGGATCAGGGTTGTGCCCTTACAGCCTCATTTAACTTTAATTACTTTCTTAGAGGCCTAATCTCCACATACTAAAATCAAGGCTTCAACCTATGAATCCTGGAGAAATACAATTGAGTTCATAACAGAGCATATCGGGCAGTTAGCTGGCCCAATGTACATGATCAGTAAGGCTGAAGTGGGTCGTTTTTTAAGTCCCTTCGTTCATGAGAATACTTGTGGGAGGGGGCTCTCAAGCATAGACTATGACACCAGAGTGAGCAGAAACTATAGAAAACTATATAAAGACTAGGTGTGGCTTCTGCCTGGTTTGAGAAGGTCCGGAAATCAAGCGGCGAAGGTGGCTCCGTTGTGAAGTCAGCTTTGGGTGGTCACGAGGAATTCTGAGGCGCACTTGCATTTGAAAACCCGGCCCTACCTTTGCACCCTCAGTTCTGTGCCCAGATGTGTATTGCCTCCTCCCGATGTCTTAAATCTCTCTGCTTATACTTCAACATCAGAAGCTGAAGCAAAGGATGGGTGTAAGATGTTTATGGTGCCTGTGAGGCTGCAAACCTGGATGCAGCAGAGCCTTTGGAAGAGATGGGTAAGGAGGAAAAGAAACAGAAGGCTGGGCCTGGGTAAGCACTGAAGGGGACCAGGGAACAGACAGAGGGGGACAGGCTACCTGCTGACCCACCTAGGCTGCCAGGACATCTTTCCTGGGGTTCTCCATCACTCTTTGACTTGGCTTCAACTGTGTAGAAGACACTTAGTTTTGTCTTCTCTCCAAGAATGGGCCACAGTTTGGAAAGGTAACTCTGAATAAGGTCTGTGAAAATAGAAATAATTAATCAGATAGTCAGGTAGTTGCTTTTACTGGTGAATATGCTTTCCTCAAGTCCTGAATCCCACTTTGTTCTCCAGATACCTCCTGCTGATGCACTTGAGAAATACAGATTGCTCTGGGTTGGCAGAGCACTGGATCAAAGAGCAGCCAGCCACGTACTTCATAAGAAGGGGGTTTGTGTAGAACAGTCTCAGCTTGTCTAGGTTTCCCATGCTTTTCTTGCTTAGTCTCACTGGGGAAAAAAAGATAACCTAAAAAACTACAGGAAACCAATGTTGTTGAAAATCTGCCTCAGTCTCTGGGAGGTAGACCAGACACAGGTTCTCAAAAGTCAGACTCTACCACAGACCATTTAAGAGAGCAGCAAGAACCTGATATTTGCATATGTGCTACAGCAAATACCTTGGCAAGTATTTTAAATAGTCTATGATATTTAATCATCACAACAACATCTTATAATCCTCTAATTTTCAAATGAGGAAATTAAATTCCGAGACACTATTGGTGACCCAGGCAAGAGCACACATCTGGTGAGAATTTGAAAGCAGATCTAGCCATGAAATGTAATTGTTGGAGACTTCTGAGCACAAAGATAAATAAATATGAAGAGCCCATTACCATCATGGGAATTCAGTGGTTGGAGAACGTATAGCTGCAATAGAGTTATTTGAATTCTAACAGACACTGGTAACAAAATTTGGTAATTCAGACAATTAGTGTGGTCTCGAAGATTCTTTTATTTGAACTGAGATAGAATGAAAACCTCAGTGATCATAATAACAAGACAAAGAGCAGTTGTGATTTAAGGTTTCTTAATAATGGAGGCTGTGTCCAGTATCGAAGCTCAGGGGGTCTGGCTGAATCAAAATTGATGTCCTCTAATTAAAAACAAATGCAAGTCTTTGACAAACATGATTAGTACAAGTTACACTCGATAGAAGGCAAGGTCATCTGGGATTGTGTGACGGCAAACATCTGGATGTGGAGATGGTGAGAGGCTGAATTGAATAACCCGTGTTTGGACAGATGGATCATATCATATTTAGGGCAATATCTTCTCACCCCTGTGTCCTTGCTTCCCACCAAACAAAAATAAGTTACTTCTCCAAAGCAGCTCCAGGTCATGTACCTAACCTCTGTTGGCATGCAGATAGTTGGGGCCAGAGACTGTCGCTTCGTCAAACCACTGACTTGCAGTCTGCAAGCTACTAGGGTTAAGCAAGAAGCTGAATACCTCCCAATAATAATTTTAGCACTTGTGAGATTTTTGTAATGCTTGTCTCTCTTGGATTATGAAAGGACAAATGCATGTCATCTTGCTGCTGCTCAAATTCTTCTTCCTCTTGGCCCAGAGAAAGAAGCAGTGTTAGGTAACTGAAGGAATATCTGTTTTGTGACAGGATCTTACTATGTAGCCCAGGATGTTATTTCATTTCAGTCTCTGAGTACTGGAAAAATGTTTACCACCATACCCAAAATGAGGTGTTTTCTAATATACAACAATTCATGGTCCCTGTTGAAAGCCACATTTTGGAATGTTTTTTTTCCTCATTCTTCACTTGATCCCTGACTTGGTTTAGTTCTTCCTTGCCAGGTAGGGAGGTAAAAAAGAGATACACGGCATCATCCTTTTTGACTGAGTTTCCAGTCACAGCATCATTCACTGAATAGTTCATATATGTGCTTGACTGTGGGGTTGTGCATTAGCATTTTCAATGTAGTTTGCTCGTTATCAGGAGGAGACAGAAATGGATAAACTATCTCAATGATAAGAGGTTGATTAAATAAACCATGGAATAGCCATAGCTGCACACTATCAAAATTTGAACTTCTAGAGCAGCACCTGTCCACCTCCCCAGCCATATTTGGCTTCTCTCAGTGATCCTGAACAAACGGAGAAACTTTGGCCATGTTAGCCCCGCCCCCAAGTTTTAGCATGCTTGTGTGTTATCTGTACCATGGTTTCTTCAGCCTTTACTTTTTCAGTTCGAAGAATTCTGTTTTCAGTCATTCTTGGTTTTTTTTTCCCAAGGGAAACATTTTTTAGAGAAGGCTCGTTTGTTATTATAAATAAAAAGCGGTGTGTCGTTTGGCACAAACTAAAAAATTGAAACCTGTAACAACAAAACTTCATTATTAGATTCATGTTGTCAAATGTCTGGACCTGAAATCTGTTCTAAGAGTGTAATTTAGCCAACAGCTAAAGAGTGCGAGCTAGAAACATTCTGGCAAGTTCTAGAACCAAAAGGACTAGAAGAGAATTGAAAAGGGAAGGGCACCTTCCTGATGTCATAGTATGTCACTTAAGGACACATGTGTGTGTCCCCTAAAATTGCCGAAGTCGGGATCTAAAGTTCGTAAACACTGTTTTGGGTTAAGGCTCTTCTCTCTGTCCAGACACTGGAACTTCTATCTCTCCCCTGGGGGATGGTGGGCAGGAGAGCATGTGGCTGGAGAAGACTTGGAGACAGGAGAAGAAGCAGAGACCCATGATGGGGTCTGCCCAGGAGCAGAGCCACTGTGGTTGAGGCTGGGTTACTCAGTAAGCACAGAATAGAAAACAAACCATGGGCGAGAGCAAGACCATAAGTAATCACTTATGTACGTCAATGCCCTGGAAGGGGGAAAGAAATCTGATGCCCACGGGGACAAACAAAGGCGCATGCAGGGCCACCTGGGAAACAAAGCTGACGAGGTGAGGTCAGCTGTGACATGTAAGTGTACCACATTGCTTTTCTATCTGGGAAAAGGCAAACCAAAATCTAAACCAGAACCTTGACAGGAACCTCTCAGTTTCTGTGGTTGATTTCTTAGAATTTTGGGATACGATTCCCCTTAGCAATTGGTGGAAGAGTGGACGGACCTCTTCATGTCTTCTACACCATTCTACAGATCCTTACAAAATTTGCTTTGCATTCAGAGAAGCCCCAAATTTGTTGATGCTACCCCATTTTTGCAGAGGCACCGAACATTAATGCTAGTGATAGGCCACTCGGCCAGACATGACAGCCACACCTTGTCACTGATCCTCTGGCTCTTTGATCAAGGGACATAATCTTTGGTGATTTTAAAACACACACACACACAAATTATTTTCGAAAATTTTTCCTGTTTGTGATCCTCCTACCATTTGGGGGGCACAAAAGTAGCCTTCAGCAAGTGGGTGGTTATGATGCACATAATTATTATGTTTCCCTGGACTCCAATCAGCACATGGGCTTCTAAATTAGATCCAAGTCATCCCCAGAAATGCTACTTAATTCTTAAGACAGGAGTTTTCACATTCCATGTCTACTTCTCTTTGTAAGAGCTATGTCTTCTGGGTTGATGAGTAGATATTAGCACCCTAAAATAGCATTTCTCTGGTGCCCACACAAGCCTGGAAAATGCAAAGTTGTTTGCTATCCTGCAAATTAGTGAGTTTCTTGAATACTAATAAGTAATTTAGGGGCCTCTCCAAGAGAAGATGCAGAGGAAGCATCTTAAGGTCTTAATAGGCTGAGCTTCTTCCTGTGTGCTAGGGTAATTTTTACTCTTCAGGGGCACTATTTAAAATGCTCATGAAGCCAACAGAATGCCACAGAATGGTATACCTTATGTTATGGCTATAAGACATTCTTCTTGTTTCTAAAGAGACCGCACATCTTGAGGATTCAATCACTGACTTTAGAGTCAGCTGGGGAGCCAGTGTGGGTGGACATGTAGCTGGGCAGAGGTGATTGCTCAGGTCATATGGGAACCTGGGACCAGGAGAAAAGTCCCATTCTTGGTAACTTGCCAGGACTTGGATCATGTCCTGCGTCTTTCCCCTACAGAATGAGAAAATTGCTTAGGGTCCATCCGTTTCAAGGATGAATAATCAGGTCAAGTGTGGTGGCTCGTGCCTGTAACCCTAGACCTTGGGATGCAGAGGCAGGAAGTTCACTGCTGGTGTAAGTCTGGTCTGGGCCCCATAGTTCCATGACAGCCTGGCTTATATGATGAAACCCTATCTTAATAATAACTAAATAAGTTAATTCATTTTTTGATGAAAATAAATAAACACAATCTGTGATTTGGTCCTCTCGGGCTTAAATGTTGATGTAGGGAAGATGACAAAGTAGAGTCAAAGGCAAAATGATAAGATCTTGTGGTTTATTGGATCTGCAAGAAGCTGTGTAAGTATCATTCCCACACCACTCACAGCACCTGGCCTCTGCCTGTTCGAGTGACAGGTTCTCAATGCAGGAAGAAACAAGCTGAGGCCTGGTTCTTCCAGCTCCACATCAGCCCGGCCATCTTCTATCGGCTCATCTCTCCTGTGTTCACTGATGGTGTGGGGGTCTCCGTAAGAGTAACAGCCAGCAGGGAAACATCTATGAAGAGGCAAAAAGAAAAACTCAGTTCAGTCTGACTTAGTCAGCTAGACTAGATCAAACTTTTGGAGTTTGATGCCAGGCAGTTTATTCTAAGTGTATTTAAACAAAGCACAATTTGTGTGTGTGGGGGGGGACGGGACAAAACAGCAAACAAAAAAAGTTTCCTGGTGTAATACAATTGTCAGTGCCCAAGAAGGCATGATTACATTCAGAAACTCAATTCAAAGTACATGAATTTCTTCCAAGAGAGTGGGTTCTAGAGATAGACCACTTGTACTGTCTTAAGGGTCTCGGGAAGGGTCTGGTGTAGTCTCAGTCCTACAGATAGCATAGAGGTCATTTGGGTTATTAGCTACCTCAGGTCTTAGTTGTAGGAGGTTGGGGGAGCCCCTGGCTATACAGATAATGTAAGGGTCATCTAGACTATTAAGTCTCTCCAGTCCTGGTTGTGGGAGCTTGATACTGCCTGGCCCTTTAGATAGTATTAAAAAAAATCACCTAGAATATTAGCCACCTCTGGCCCTGGTTGTGGGAGCTTCATGTGGCCTGGCCCTTCAGATACTTCAGATCACAGAACTATTAATCACCTCCAATTCCTAGCCTTCTAAGTGGAAAAACAGGTTATATATCTTTTTCTTTGAAAAGACAACCCTGCCTGCTTAACATTCCTGGTTTCCCTGGTGACCTGTGGGACCAAGGACCTCTGTGCTCTCAATATGATGAATAGGTCCGTGGAGCAGTGAGCCTTGGGAACGCAGGCCTTTTGTAAGTGGACACTACTGGCAGTCCATGTAGGATTTGAAAATAAGAAAACAGGTTGCCAGATGAGCCTGTGTCAATCTGCTGAAAGCCTCTAAGCCCATTGTAAAGATGGACACTAAGATTAAATTCTGCCAATGTGTCAAGCATAAGAAGGACAGATACTTCTTGAAATTAGCTTTGGTTAAGAGAAATGAATGAAACCCAGAGACATATTGCCGTACACAAGCTGGACATGGTTTTCTTTCAGCTAAAATCTAGAGCAGTCCTATGCAGAAGAATTACCATAATGGATCTGCTTTGTAAAGCTCACTATCAGGTTGGCTCTTATCTGGCGTCTGGGACTTTGGCTCTTGAAGTGTACTCAGTCAATAATTAAATACTGTTGGGGACTCTCTAGAGAGATGTTCCTGCAGTTAAGAAGAGCACTGGCTGCTCTTCTGGAGGACTGAAGTTCAATTCCCAGCACCTACATGGCAGCTCACAGCTGTCTATAACTCCAGTTTCAAGAGATGTAAAACCCTCTCCTGGCCTCCAAAGGCACCAAACAGGCAAAATACTTATACACATAAAATTAAATAGTAAAAAAAAATTAAATAATAATTTTGGGGAACAACTAGCATTTTCTGCCCCCAAAGGCAGGAAGAAAATGCACAGTTATGTTTTAATTGACTCAAGAGTCTTAGACACTGGCTGGATCATCTATCTACCTGCTTTTCTTGTAGGAGAACGGAATTTTGGAAGCTGATAGACAGAAGGGGTCTAGCATGACCAGCTTCCAAAGGGGATCCCCTGCTTGCAAACATCACACTCCATGGTGCATTTCCATTGATGGGGTAGAGTGAACCCCGCACAGAAGCCAGAGAGTTCAAAGAGTCCTGCAAAATGAATTCCCACAGACTCTGCATGCTGTTTTTCCTGATAATAGAGCTGTGTACCACAGGACTGTAAGAAGTCTCAGTCATGTGCCCACCTACCTTTGCGTCCTTCTAGCAAACTTCTGGATGTGTAAGTGGCCAGGGGAGACAGAAACAGTCTGGATCAGGAAGGAAGGAAACAACAATGATCAGGAGCTCAGGGTCCTGCTGCCTTTTGGATAGCTGTCTTCAAATATACCTGAATGTTAGTGGCCAGGGTGGCTCTTCTGTCTGCCTGCTTTAACAGGCAGGAGAGAAGGAAGGAGAAACATAGCCAGCTCTCTGTTGGCCACCACTCTGCATCCTCCTTTGCAAGGGATGTGTTTCAAGGCCACCAGGGGGTAGTATTGAGTTCACAATATACTGCAGGGCGGCGGGGGTTCCTATCTACATTTACCTACATCAAAACTGTAGTGAATTAATTAGGAAATTAACAACATAATAAAACAGAACAATGGCTACTAAAGCCATAGAACATAATTTAATAAAAGAGTTGAACACAGCACAAACTGACAACAGTGAGTCTGGTAACTGGGGCAGGTGCCCAGTGATTGACAGGTGAGCATGGTGTGCAGTGTGGGTACACAACATGCCCAGGACAGAATACAACAGAGGAGTGTGGAGTTCATCACACCACTCAGAACTGTACACACCTATGCCTTACGTATTCTTTACTTCTGGAATTTTCCATTTGTAATATTCAGAGGGTAACTGAAACCGCAGAAAGTGGTGCCATGGGTAAGGTGGGAACTAGCGTGATTACTATGATGTAATTGTTGTACAAATCAAATTCTATCCCATTGACCAGAATTTCACCAAATGGCCACATCCAGCTAAAAGAAGGCTGCAAAGTATCTTTCTTCTTCTTCTTCTTCTTCTTCTTCTTCTTCTTCTTCTTCTTCTTCTTCTTCTTCAATCCTGTGTTCCCCAACAGCCTGGAGTTCTCCACTAGAGAACAATGGGCAGACTTTATCACAAAAAGGAGAAAAAAGAGTGAGTATAATTTTTTTAATTGAATCAAGTTAAGGACATTTAAGCAAAATTAAACAGGTCAATGTCTTGCATTAGCTTTATGCTGAATTTTAAATGAAAAAGAGACAGGTTGCTTGCCTATAAAAAGATTTATTCTGGTACCAGTGACCAGCTGCTGAGTCCTTGGCAAGCTGTTAGGTGATTATACATGGCTAGACTTGAGAATTGCCTTGACGTTGAATTCCTGCAACTCTCTTCCTCTATCTCTCACTTCGTTTTCAATTTTTTTTTTCTAAAAAACACAACATTTTCATTGGAACTCTTTAAACCAAATGGAAAAATCAAGCCTGAGATATTTGGTTCTCTATACAACTCATAAACCACCTATTGACAAGGCTAGGCCAGCAAAGCAAATCATAACTCCGTCCTCAAATGACTAACTTGGCCCATGACCACCTTTTATATTGTATGTGACATGGTTACCCCTCCCCTTCAACTTCTTGTTAGAAAAGCTTCACACACCACACACAAATTAATCAATAGTTGCTAAATGAATAAGTGAAGAAATTCCTGCTTGACCACCACGACTCAATGGTCCAACAGCTACACATTCTGAAGAGCAACTGAGTACTTGACTGGTAAAGAAATGTATTGGGAATTAGAGAACTAATTACTGAAAGCCTAATTGTCCTTAGGAAGTCAGAAGCATTTGGTTGTATTCAGAAATCTTGGCTCTCTCCATGAGTCAAGACCCGCCTCAGCTTTGTTTATTTTACACAAGTCACTTAACCTCAGTGGCTCCTCATTCTTCCTTGGCCCGGTGAGGAGAGTAATAGTTGACCTGCCTACCACACAGAGTTGCTGCTAGAAGAAACCAAGGCAATCATGGTGTGGGTGAAATCTCTAAATCTCTGTGAGAGCTGAGCTCAGAGTCCTAGCAGGAACTTCTCATTTTATGGAACATAAAAGTTAAGCTTCTGGTACTGACCTTCTGGCCCCATGGCTATATAATCCTTTCTGGCACAGGCTGGAATCTCTTGTTTTGGAATGGTGACCTATCATTTCTCATAGCTCAGAAGTCTCAGGCCCTGGAGGTCACTTAATAAAGAATTATGAGTTCACTCGGTAAATCAAAGAATTGTGTGATCAGATTTTGGCCTCTTGTTGTGCTCTAGAGAGACCAGGCCTGCCATTTCCTTTTGTTTTTATCAAGAGTGAAGTTTTCTGTCTTACCTTCTGCCCTAGATTGTACAGTAATCTACCGTCTCGGAAAGAAATTCTACAAAAATAACCTTCAGCTGAAATGATGGATGAAGGCCACCCCCTGTGATAAGAAGGGAGGTTTCCACAAAACAGTATAAACTGAACCTTAACAGTGGGGTGGCATCAACCTGCGATGTGGTCTGCTTTCCTAAGGTTACAATCTACTAACATTACAAAGGGAATCTGATTGAAGATTCAATACACAGTCTTAGAATTATGCTAATATGGAAGAAGAGAAGCACAGAATCCTACAGGAGCCAGGCAAAGACGTGGGAGATGAAAGAGTCTTTCTTATTCCCAAGGTAAGCTTTTATTATTCATATGGTCCTCTTGGAAAAACCCAAAGCATCCTGAGGAAGCACAGTAGATAAGCAAAATTTGAAAAAGGGAGACCGCCTCCTATGTGTAAACAATATGGAATACAAAGGAGTAATTGAGCAGATAGAGGGCAGCGTTTGGTGGGGGACACAGGGTGGGCAGAGATACTCCAAAGCTAGGAGAGCCTGGGAATGGGAGGCCTTTTTAGTGTTTCCCCTTCTTTTATTTATGCACTGTTGTTGTTGATGTATGCACTACCGATTCTTAATTCTAAAGACAGAGAAGTTCAAAATGTGGTTGAAAAATGCCATGTTGCCTGTTGGTTTTTTAGAGATATAAATGGAGTAGGCAAAGCTGATGAGGAACTAAGAGTTAGACAGAGTCTCGGATAGGCAGACGGCCAGAGGAACCATGACTAGGTAATCAAAATGGTGAACTTCCAAGATGGCTGCCTTCTTCCTCATTCTCCTGACCTGAGAAGAAAGCATGGCAGTTTATACCAAAGGCCCTGTGGACTTTTTCTCCTGTCAGTAAGGTCCCTGATGATGGACTGGTTCAACAAGTTCAAGACCAGATCAGGACAAGTTTACACAGCAGTTGTGGGCCAGTCAGACATCCAGTCTTTCATCAAGCAGACCAATCTGAAGTTAGGGGAGGAGGACCCTTGAGAGACTTCAAATCCCCCAGCCCTTGGAATGAGACCAGATTTTTGGATATCTCACATCCCCCCTTTCCTTTGCTCTGCTGGGTCTTTTTCTCTGTGTGTCTGCTGCATGTGTGTGTTTCCTCACCCCAGTAAACACCTTTCTTCATCTGCTGATTCTGTCTGTTCCTGTTGTGTTAGAGATTTCTCCACCGCTGCTTGTCAAGTTTCAGAATTTTCCTGCCTTTTAATTCTTTTAACTGGCAGAGAAAACAAACACAATCATGATCCCTAAATGGTAACATGTTTTAAGCTGCCAGGCTTTTGTCTCAGGTCAGGAGAGTAAAGAAGAAGCCTGTCATCTTAGAAGTTCACCATCTTGATTTCTTAGTTATGGCCCCTCTCCCTATCTGTCTGCTTGTCAGGGACTCTGTCTAACTTCTTGTCCCCCATTGGTAGAGAAGGCATAGGTGTGGGTGGAGACCAGGACTATTTTTGGAAGAAACTATAGGTAGACCAGGTACTACAGCTTCCGTCTTAAATGTCCCTCTAAGCTTTAGAGTCTAAGGCTGTATGTTGAAAGCATTGTCTTCTGTCTATGGCCCTATTGGAAGGTAGTAGAGCTTTTAGGTAGGGTGTAGTAAGAGGAAGTTATGTTATGAGGAGTGTATGCCTTTGAAGAGTATAGTGGTTTCCAGCCCTTTTCTGTCTATCGGCTTCCCAACTACTAGAAGGGAAACAACTTCCTCTACTGCCAAGACATTGTGAAGATTTAAGCAGTGGAAGGTACCAAAGGGCGCAACAAAGCCACACCATGCAGCAGATTTCACTCCAGGGGTTTATTGGGGGAGGGGGATGCATAGGCTGCCTCTGAGCAAGGGTAGAAGGGAAAAAGGACTGGGGAGAGAAGGCACTGGCTTTTTATAAGGGGATATAGTTCAAGCACATGGGGAGAATGCACAGCTCATGGCGACAGTGGGAATATGTCTCATTTCGGCAGCTGATGATGACATGTCCTGCTGCCACTCAGTCCCTGAGGGCAGGCCAGGGGAGTGCCTGATTGCTAACCGATAGGCTATCTCATTACAGGCCCAAAGGAATAGATGGGTCCAAGTGACCACAGATCAAAACCTCTGAAGCTATAACCATGAATCAAAACCCATGTCTTTTTCCTTGTCAGTTGATTATCTCAAGTATCTTATCAGAACAATAGAAAGTTGACTAAGAGGGAAAGCAAGGAATGAGATTCAGAGGCAGGGTGGTCTTACTCACCACTGCTGAAGACTTCTGCGTGAGTGTCTGGGAAGAACACCAGTTCCAAGTTCTACTATAAGCCTTTGCTCATGCTGCTCCTCCTGTGTGGAACCTTCCCACCACTCACACCTAGGTCTCCTTAAATGTCTCTTAGCCTCCATGGATTGGTTTAAATATCACTTCTTCAAGAAAGCCTTTCCTGATTGTCCCTCTCCCAGAACTAATTCGTTTGGCTGAGGGAATTTCATGAGCATTTAGACGGATGTTAAGAAAGTGGTTGTGACTGTTAGAGAGATCAGCACCACTGAAATGAATCTTCCTGTCCTTCACTAGGACAATAGGGTGTCCTGAAATAAAACCCTTAAGAGGCTTCAGCTTGTGAAGGTCTGAATGCACTTGAAGAGAGAAAGTCTAACTGAAAGGGCTCCCCGTCCCTTGAAAACGCTGCTTAGGAGAGCATGTCCCCAGGGTCAACGCACAAAGCTGTGGTCTGTGAGACCAGGCTCCAGCTCCAGCTGGCCACAGAATTTGACAGTGTTATAAGTGTTGTCCATGTGGTGCTGGTGCTGATGGCAATGATGAATGGGTGAAGAGGTCATAGAGAGCAGCTAAGTCCCGGCAAGGTGTGGCAGGCTTAGAGTCCAAGTAAAAAGGCCATTGCATAATAGTTGTAAACGTGGAGCCTAAGCTACAGTGGAGCCCAGGAAACTGGGTGTCCCGTGACTATGGGACATGCCCCGAGGAAAGACACAGGTGGGAAGTATAATGACCTAACAGCTACTCTGTATGTGCTGAGGTGGGAGATCTGGGGGGGGAGGGGTCTACTAAAGCCCTTTAGAACTTAGCTGGTTATATCTTGAGTCCTGGATGCCAGACATGGAGATGCAGAATTTGCTCTTTGCCTTGCTGGGCTTGGTCTTGATCACTCCTTGCTAAGCCCCAATTCTTACATGTTTATTCTATACCATTATATGTTGGAAGTTTATAATTTTCTATAAGAGCTCACAGTTAAGAGTCTTTGAGTTTTTAAAGTGTTAGAAGTTCTAAGGACTATGAGACTTTTAAAGTTGGAAGGTAGAGTTTATTTTAATTTCAACGTTGCTGCACAGAAAGCATCAGCTGGAAAATTGTGCTCATTGCCTTAATTTTTGTGGGAAGTGTTAATCCCACAGACACAAAGAGAAAGACCACTGACCCAAATGGCCAATTTGGAGCAAGCTTTTTAAATTTGTATACACAGGTGCCTTCCCCTAAGGTGGGGTTCAAGAGACCGGCCTCCGTCATGGAAAAGATAAGGGTGTTTATAGTTTAAGAGTAGGGGGGTTCCAATCGGGAGATTTGGGGGGCAAATAGAAGCAGAGCATAAGCATAACAAATTGGTCACAACAACCTCCTGTAACAGACATTGTTGCAAGGTGATCATAGCAAAGTGGCCATAAAAAAGTGGTCATAATGAGGTAGTAACAAGATAGTCATAATGAGGTGGTCATGACAAAGTGATCATAACAAAGTGATCATAACAAGGTGGTAACAAAGTGGTCACAAAACCATCTTGAAACAAAAACATGGTTGCCATTTCCTGGAACAGGCAGTACAGAACAATTTGTAGTTAGGGTTATAGGTAGGGCATAGCCCAATCCTTGGGAAACAGGCTTAATCATAAACAGGAATGAATCTATTTTGTCTTTACTATAAGATGGCTTTCAAGCCCAAGATGGAGGCAGACTGGTTTGTCAGAAGACCCACCCCAAACGTAGATGACATCTTCTGGTAGCAGACCAGAACAGATCAAAAGGACTCAGTAGAAGGAAGATTATTCACCTTTAACTTGCTTTATCTTTCCTGTTGTCATGGAGTTGGTTTACCTTGCTGCTGATTCAGCTGGATCTTTCTCTGACATCAGAACCAGTATTTCCAGGCTTCTACCATTCTCTAAAGACCAGTGGCTCTCCAGGAAACCTCCAGGTTTTTGACACCCTATTGGAACTGGAAGGCACCAAGTCTTGTGAACCCAGCCAACAACTGGATTCTCAGTCTCTCAGATAGGACTCAGCTGTCGCTACTCCTTTGATGTAAGCATACTTAATACATTATATATATAATTTACATGGACTCATACCTATTTATATAGCCATACATTTATAAATGCATGAATAATCACATGTTGATATTACATATAAGTATATATTCATCTTATCAGTTCTGTTCCTCGAGGGAACCCTAACTCATACAAATGGCATTTTAGATTATGAGACAAACATGAGACTTTAAGGACAAGAGATAGACTCAACAAAGGGGGCATTTGTGATGGTTGATTTTTGTTGTCATCTTGACACAATCTATAATCACCTGGGAATGAGGCTCAGTAAAGAACTGTCTAGATTAGGTCTGTCAGGGACAAGGACAGAATCTCTAGTTAGTGGAAAAATACAGACCCCCAATAAGACAGGGAACTAGATCATCTTACAGTCAGGTTGCCTAGCAACAGGACATTGAGTCAGAGCCCTTGACCCTCTCACCCTGTAAACATCCTATACAAACATCCTGTTAGCTTGCCCCACCTTATGCAGTTGACAGCTTCTTGCTCCCCCTACCCTGCAGAACTATATAAACCTTTTTGGAAGAGAAATAAAGGGCACCTTGATCAGAATCTAGACTTGGTGTCTTTTTCTTTGTATCTCCTGTCCCTACATTCCCTCCTTAGGGTGGTCGAGAACCCGTTGAAGCCCTGCAGGCAGGGCGAGGTCAGCCTGTGGGATGCTTTTCTTCATTAAGATAATTGAGGTGGGAAGATCATATTGAATATGGTAGCCCCATTGCATGGGCTGGACCCTGGACTGTATCAGAAGGGAGAAAGTGAGCTGCATATTGGCATGCATGCACATGTCCTCTCTCTGCTCTTGACGGTGGATGTGATGTGACTAGCCGCTGAAGTTCTCCTCCCCTTGAATTCTTCACAATGGTGGGCTGTCATCTGGAACTGTGTGTTAAAAGAAACTTTCTTCCCCAAGTTCTTTTTATCAGGGCAGCAAGAGACACAAAACTAAAGCAGTCACCAGAGTGGTCTTTATCTAAGGGGGTCTTTATTTTCTGAGCCTTAACTTTAAAAACACTGAAGTTCATCCAAGTGTATAAATTGCAACTATGACTATTTTTATCGACATTCAAGGGCTTTATTTTCCTATCTAAACATTGTAAGAATTGATTCTTTAGTTTATTTATTTGTTGCTGTTTGTTTGCTTGTTTGTTTTTGAGATAGGATCTCTATGTAGATTAGATATGTAGTCTCGGCTGGCCTCAAACTTGAGGTCTTCCTGTCTTCGATGTCTGGGTTCTGATATTGCAGATGTGCTCATAATGCCTGGCTCCATGATTTTGGACTTCTTCACTATCAGAAGCATTTCATAGAGCAACTTATATAGCACATGCTGAAGTGTATCCGACAAGGTATGTGATGATCTTTGAAATCATCACAGATGGCTCAGTGAGTAATGGCATTTGCTGTTGAGCTTGAAGACCTGAGTTTGGACCTCAGAAACCATGGACATGTTTCTTCCCCAGAATGTGATGGAAGAAAATAACTGATACTTGCCAGTTGTCTTCTGACTTTCATATGTGTATCATAGCATACACACACACACACACACACACACACACACACACACACACACACCTGTGATTGCAGCAGGAACAATACTGAGGCAGGAGGATTGCCATGAGTTCAAGGCCAACCTGGATGATATAGTGATTACCACACTAGCTATGTCTATATAGAAAGATTCTATCTCAATAAAAAAAGCAAATTTAAAAAAAAGCTTTTTGCAAATTAAGTTTTAAAACCCTTTATAACTTCTTACAAATTTAAAGATTACATGTTCATGAAAGAGTAATATTTTATAAAGAACCCACCATATTTTACCTCATTTAGCATTATGCTATTAAAAATCTCAGTTGAATAGAGATATATAAAAAGGACAACCATGTTAAATTCTTTACAAACTTTGCAAGTAAAACTTAGACACAATAGACTACAATGGTCCCCTTCCTCCCCAATGAACTTCTCATTTGTTAAGTGTATGATTGCTTAATAATTTCCCTTTATAAGATAGCCTTAAACTAATTCAGCCTGCCTATTTAAAATTTTAATTCAAGGTAAAAATGTAATTTTAAAAAGAACACATTTTCTTTGGCTCAAAATTATCAACATCCAATTAATGTATTTTTGTAATAGCACAGACCTTTTCTTCTCCTTTTCAAAAGCAGGTTCAGACTCAACAATTGACTGGAGAGAAAATTACCTTTCTTAAATATCTGGTCTATTCAAGTAGTTAAGAAGAGCTAGCCAACCGAAATGGGAACTCCCACTTTGAGAGCTGGTGTCTTTCATTGAGGACAGTGGTTTGGATGAGAGATGCTGCCCACAGGCTCGGGCATGTGAGTACTTGGTTCCCGTTTGGTGGCACTGTCCGGGGAGGGTAGCCGTTGTATGTAGCCTTGCTGGAGGAAGAAGTACGTCACTGGCCGTAGGCTTCGAGATTCTACAGCCTCTCTCTACTTCCTGTTTGCTCTCTCTACTTCATGCTTGCAGTAGGAGATGTGAGCTCTCAGCTTCCTGCTCCAGCCTCTCTTATTCCTTGGGAACGCTAAGCCAAGATGAACTCTTTCTTCTGTTAAGTTGCTTTTGGTCATGGTGTTCTACTTCCAACAGAAAAGTAACTAGTTCATCAAGTGAGCAGCCTTATAACACCAAGGAGTTTGTGATGGCCTCATATGACAGCAGGAGCAAACCCAACACATGTCCACATGCATAGTCATGCATATTCCCAGGGCCACCAAGGCATTCTGAGGGGGGGTGCATAGTTCATGTAAGCACAGAATAAGTGCCATTCAGGAGTACTATGAGGATTCTCTGGCTACACAAATGTTCAGCTAAAGTGCCATAATGAGAAATGTGCTGTGTTCTATTTGTTTTCTCTTTATAGTGTGAACACAGTTCCGTAGTTTCTTTTGTACTGATTTCTTTCTTTTTTCTTTTTCTTTTTTTTCCCCCCAAGACAGGGTTTCTCTGTGTAGTTTTGGTGCCTGTCCTGGATCTCGCTCTGTAGACCAGACTGGCCTTGAACTCACAGAGATCTGCCTGGCTCTGCCTCCTGAGTGCTGGGATTAAAGGTGTGTGCCACTGCCGCCTGGCTTCTTTTGTATTGGTTTCTGATCAATGCCTTAGAGTGCCTACATGGAACATAGAGATGGTCTGCATTTGTACTCACCATTAATGAGTCCTAACAGGTGTCTGCTTGGCACTCCGGTTCTTGGCTTTGACATTCTCTACCAAAGGCTGACGGTCCCTGCTACTGTTCACACTGCCTTTTGCTTTTCAAGGAAGCTTTGCCCAAAGTGAGCTTTGTTGTTATGAGGACTGATGGGAACACTGTTACTTTCCAGTACATAAGCAAAGCCATGACCTGCTGGCCAAGATAAGACAGGGGTTCTCTCTGTTCCTCCAAGCACAATACCAATGCCTCACGGTCCCGCCCTCTGCGAAACAATTACAGGTACTGCACACACATGTGGCCACTTAGGACCAAGTAAGGCAAATGCTACCCAAGTAACTGTTATAAAGCCTTGAGAAAGTATAGCACAGCTGTGCTTACACATGTGGAATCTCACACCAGCAGTTAGCAGGAATTCTCTGCTAGACTGGCTTCTGTTCAGAAGGGCTGGCCTGCAGCAGGTAGCATGGCTTTTCCCGATGCTTGCCAAAGCCATGTTCCTACTAGTGGGAGCAATTCAATTCACAAGAAATGTCAAGGAGTACAGCTTGCTGTGTCAAGAGTGGGGCTTGTCACCAGAGCAAACTGTGTTCCATCACCGGAAAGCAGCTCTGAAGAGGGAAACATTCTCAATTCCTCTGGCTTTGCATGCCTTCACCCGATCCTGGAAGCCAACGTTAAGGCTTGCAGGAACTACCCAGAATTGCAAAGTAGACCGTTAGACTGTCATCTACAGCATGGCGGGACACCTCTTTCCAAGGTGTCCCTTAGAATACATATAATATCATCTTGCACTAACTACAGTCTGGAAGATTCTCTCCACTTACCATTTTCTTCATAATCAGTCATCCATCAACTTCATTTTCTCAAACAAGGGGCCATAAATCAAAACAGGATCTTCAGCACAGATTCTGGGCATCCTTGCTTTCTGTATAAAAAGCAACATTGTCCTCAGCCAATGACATAGATACTGTTCACTAATAGACTAAAAAAAAACCCAAACAAACAAACAACAACAACAACAACAACAACAAACCAGATGAACTGAGAAGAGCCACAAACACCAAATGGATCTTCTTTAACAGATGGAAAAAAACAAAATCCTGGCTTCCGATGGACTCTTCTTAAATAAATGGTTTTCAGTGGTGACCTCTTCAGTCCAGGACGCATTTGCTACAAGAAAGCTTTGGAAATGGGAAGCAACAGAAGAACACTGTCCAGGTCCCAGCTGATGCCTCCTGGGAGGCCAGAGGTTGACACACGGGACTCACGGCGTACATTGTATTTGTTTCTTTTCCCTCCAGTCTTTGAATGTTTCACCTTTCTTAATGCTTTTCTGGGTTTTCCTCAGTACTCCCACTTGGTGTGGAGAACCCTTCCTCCAGGTGTGGAACTAGGGAGTAAAGGCCTGAGGGAGCAGGAGTGAGGCTGAGATGGCCCCTGACGGGACAGGTTGGGCTTGGCTGAGGGGAGCTTAGAGTAGTCACTTCCACAAAACATACTCAGACACTCTGGCAGGAGGGGGTCCCCACAGTTTCAGAGCTTCTGCTGTCTGCCTCTAGAAACCACAGCCCAGGGGTCCAAGTCGTAAGGAACTGTCAAGAATACATTTCCAACATGTTTTTTTTTTAATTTGAATACAGTAAAATTAACTTTTTGTTTACAGCTCTGTGAGTTGTTTGTTTGTTTTAATGCATGGATTACTGAAATTACCTTCCAGGTAAGTTGCCACTTAGTCCTTTTATCCAGAGAGACTCGCACAGGCCGTTCCTAGCGGTCACGTGTTCTACCTCTTACCTCTAACCTCTAACAACCAGCATATGGCCTCTAGTTTGGGCCCTTTTTGAACACCATGTAAGTAGATATCTCAGCTTTCAGCTGTGGACTTGCCAAGCCTAGAGTTATCTGAGATAGTCTCAACTGAGGAGTTTTCCAAATCAGATTGTCCTGTGGCCATGTCTGTGAGACACTGATGATTGATGTGGGAGGGCCCAGTCCACTATGGGTGACACTATCCCTAGGCAGGTAGAGGCCTATGCTGAATAAGAGAGCTAGCTGAGTAAGAGCCAAAAAGCACTGTTCCTCCATGGTTTGTGCTTTAGTTCTTGTCCTGACTTCTCTCAGTGATGGACTTTGACCTGGAAGCGAAAGTCAAATAAATCCTTTCCTCCCCAAGTTGCTTTCAGCCAGAGTGTTTTATCCCAGTGACAGAAGGGGAGTTAGGAAACTAGAAGACTATAGCAACGTTTTGCACAATGTTTGGGGCTTTGTTTCTCTCATGTAGAAGAGCCTGTTTGAGATTTATCCACACATCTAAAGTACCACAGGTTCGTTCCTCTGGATTTCTAGGTAGTGTACTCTACACTGACACACTGTGTTCACCCATTTGCCAAGCACAGGCTGCTGGGTTCTTCTAAGTGATTATAAATAATGCTACTGTGAGCATTTTACAGATTTTTATGGGAACATAAAAATTCATTTCCCATTGCTGGGCCATATGGTAGGGGTTTGCGAAAGCTTATAAAAACTGATAATAGATTTTCTAGATCGGAAATTTTTCTCTCCCCTCTGCCTTCCCTCCCTCCCCCTCCTTTTTTCTCTATTTCTCCAGGTTTGCATTCAACGTATACTGACCCCAGAGAATGGGTAGAGAACATGTAAAGTTGATAATACATCTTACGTAATTATATGGTATAATCCCCGCTGAAGCTATCCGGGCATGAAGATTCCTTTGCAGGATGGTTTTGAACTATGATCTCTTCTTCTTTAATAGATACAAAACCAATCAGGTAGCCTGTGTCTTCTTGTGTAAGTTTTGGCAGTTGGTGTCTTCGGAAGAGTTGCTCCACTTCCTCTAAGGTGTTGACACTATATTGCTATTGGCATTCCCTTGTTATCTTTTTAATGTCCATGGTGGTCAGCTGGGATATTACCCTGCATTCCTGACACTGGAGTTTTGCATTTTACACACATGTTTTCTGGGTTTTCCTCAGCACTACCTTGTTGTACTGGCAAGTTCATCTACCTTGTTGCTGCCACTGCTGAAACCTTTGGTGATATATGGACCCAGCTTCTTCCAGCTGTGATCTGATGACCAGCAGCTCTTCAGGAATCTTCCAGGCCTTCCACACCAGATTAGGAGCGCTGAGGCATCCAGCCTGGTGGACTGAGGCACTACCAGGTTCTCAGGCTCTCTGATATGAGGCCACTGTTGAACTATTCTGACTATACTGTGTAGGCCAATCTAGCAAATTCTCTTTTAATGTGTGTTCATTCTATCAGCTCTGTTTCTCTAGAGAACCTGATACAGACTCTATTGGTTGTTATTTCCCCAATGGAATTAGTAAGATGTTTCCTGGTTCTCCACATGGTGAGTGATTGCCATGAGCATGGAGAATATTTTGAGTCTCTCGTCCTGTTTAAATCCTCTAGAAGCTGTTTTGGCATGCATTAGATTGATGAGGTTCAGTGTGTGAATCCTGACCCACACTTTGCACACTACAGTTTCTGTGTCTGGTTCGTTTTCAAAACTTTTTCTGTCCTCTTGGGGTTTGACCCACACTAGGCTGCCCAGGCCTGGGATGTGTCATGGCCCACACTTTAGCTCAGTTCTCCAAGCCTGCTTCAGCTCAGTGTTGTGTGTGCACAGCTCTGGAGAGACCAGGGTGGGATGCATAGATTTAGGACATCTCTGTCTAATTGCTTCTCTCTGTGAGTTCCACTCCACCCCACCTCATCCTTTCTGATTCTCAAAGGTCCGTTTTCCTGGTTCCATGGTTAGGAAGTAGATTTTCATCCTCCTTATACTGTCCTACCCCCCAGGGGCTGTATCCATCCTCAGGACAAAGCGGCAGGGAGCCACAGGTTCCATGCATCAGAGAGACAGATGTCTTCTCATTGGTACCCACCACCCCACAGCATCTTGCTGCTACAGAGCAAGAATGGGCGAGTGGAAACAGAACACCACAGGAAGGAAGCCTTTCTGCTAACACTTGACCTTCCAGGAGCCCGCTTCCCGCTTCCTTCCTCCACCTAAAAAGTGAGTATTGGTCTTGCAGCTGTCTGCTCATAACTCCAGAGGTCCAGCACTGGGCTGCTTTCCAGCGTAAGCCAGAAGCTAGGGGTAGCCATGCAAAGGGCCAAGCAACCTGGTCCTGTATCAGCCATTCTCCACCATTTTATTTCCCTTGCTAACCTGTCTACTATCAACTGTCCATTCTCAGACAGTAGCTTTCTGTCTTCCGTTCAAATATCATGTTAATTATCATGAGGGAGATACAGTGGGGCACACTTAATCCATCACAGACCTCAAGGTTGTTTCGGGGTATAAACTGCTTTTGTTTTATATACTGACTTTAGAACAGACCCCGAACCCATGTTTCCAACAGCTGTTTTTGAGGTGTCTTAGCATCTTGAAAGTTAGGTTTTTGGTTTGTTTGTTTGTTGTTGTTGTTTTTAATACAAAAGTGCTTAAATCTCACAGGGTGTGGCACATGTTAAATTATATATCACACAGGCTTGCCTATTGTAAGCTCTCTAGAAAGGAGAACTGCTTTTGTTGTTGGAATCCTTTGCACTGCTGATATTCTCATAGACCACTGGGAGCCGGCTTCAGTAACCATCAGATCTCCATCAAGGCAGCTATAAACTGCCAGAGGAATCACAGAGCTATGAAAATGAAGGCCCCTCGGCAGTCCGTGTGGTCCTGTGTTTTTTTCAGAATGTGGTTATGGAACAGGGTAGAAACCTCAGTGACCGGCAATAAAAATAGCATATTGTGGAGACACAGTGACCAGGGGTCTGACCACCCAGAAGGGAAGCATCAAAATGGTCGAGGAAGTATAAAGAAAGGTAGATGAGTGTCCTTAGCAGAAGGTTTTTTTGTTTGTCTGTTTTTAAGTTGGTAGTGGTGGTGGTTTTTGTTTTGAACTTTAATTCAGCAGCTTTTAAAAAAAAATGTAGCTGGGGCCTATTTATTCCTTTGTTCTGTGATATAGCCTGATGCTGGCTATTTTCTGATCATCGATCTTCTTTTACATTAAGAACATACCATGGCCTAGAACTTTTCTGCTAAAAGGAATGTAGCGTTCTTAATTCGGGCGTCTCTGAGGTCTGACCGCCTCTTCTCTTTCCCACCGGCTAGTTTACAGTCCTCACTGCGGTTTCCTCATCCCTTGACACTGTGCTGTTGCCTTTCTACTGCCGGGCAGCTTATAACTGTGTCAGCATTCCCTTCTCGGTGTTTTTTTTTTCCCCTCTCTAATTTTCCTGTGTCTGTGCTTACCACGCTTGCCTAGGATTTTTTTAATTGCAGCCTGTTTGGGCGCAAATGGCTTGTGAGCCCCTCATTCTTCACGTTCCTGCCACAATAAGAGGCGATAGAGTCAAATTTAACTACAGAAGACGGTTATGGGAGGTTCTGCAGAGCAGAACACGGAAGAATAAGAGCTTCAGCGCCCTGCAGAGCACATGCACATGCGCGAACGTTCTTATCCATGCCTGCCTCTGGTCTGTCATTCCTTCTCAAGTGCCAGAACACAGTGATGATTTCTTCTGCAGGCTGAAAATGAGCTGACTGTTAATGAAGGAGAAGAGCCAGTTACACTGAGTATAGAATTCCACATTACTCAATAACCAAGTGTCTGTTCAGTGCCTGTCGTGTGCTACCTAGTGATAGGTGAAAATGACAGATATGGAGAACAGCTGCCTTCTGATCTTCTCTTTCTCCCCCCTCACCTGCAGTTACCAGAGATCAAACCCAGGTCCCCTTATTTACATGCCAAGCATGTTACCAACTGAGCTAGTCCCCCCCACCCCCCAGTCTCTGATCTCCTCATTCAAATCATCCATTTTTTTCCTCCAAATATTCTGTCTTGGAAGATGTAAACCACTGATTTGACTTGCCAGCACCCCAGAATATGTCACTAG